AGGTATCGTAACTAGGATTAAACCATAAAAATATGATATTATGAATGTAAATAAGCTAATTAATAAAAGAAAGAATGAATTGAGGAGTTGTCCTTTACAGTTTTACTCGGCCCCATACAATTACCCGTTTATCATATATAGGGCAAAATTCAACAAAAAAATCCATCAATCCTGAACTACCAAATCAAATGTAGTTATGGTTCAAACGAATTTCATTTAGAATTCAAACATAAAAGATCGAGTCCAAAACCATCAAAATATGCATAAAACTAGATTCCAACAGTATCAACAAAGTTCTTAATCTGAATCTGGATCCAAAGGTAGAAGCCGATTAAAGTGGCATTTTGACAGATTAAGTCCAGACCAAGATTATTGTTCTGAATCATTTATCCCATACCGTTCAAAATCACAGTGAAGTTGTACACATTTCGGATTACTTGAGTGGTATTTCCGAAACCCATTTATGGAAAAAATTAATCCAGACATTTTCGCTTAAACTTTTTATTTTCATGGTTTCTTTGCTTGTCAAATTATGCTAAACATGAAGCCATTTTGGTTTTCAAAAAAAAGTTTATGGTTTGCAAGCGTTGCTAGGCAACTGAACTACCAATCATATTCTAGTAATTCGGCCCCGTGAATTATGGAAAAAAGCCCTCCTTCATTAGCCAATCAGCATCCAGTAATTAATTTTGCCCTGCATGCGATAAACTCCAGAATGAAGACACCAAAAACACACAAATGTACTGTGTGAAGCTTAATGGATACATGGGGTCAATCACAAAACAAGAGAAAAGGGTCAGGAAGTCGTTTACTGCAGTTGCAATTTGCCCATTGAAATTTGGTTGGCAATGCAGCCAGTCAAAAATGTGAAAGGTACTGACTGGTTAGTTTTGATTGACAGCAGCAAAAAAAATTTTTCATCCTATTCAACATATTATTAGTTGAAACTTTGTCTTTTTTTGAATTGTATCATTTCTGGGGTTAATTTTGAAATATTACCCTAAATGCTTGGGGCAGGGGCAGGTTACCTCATATGACCTATTCAATCTGTAACTTATTGACATATCCAATTTTTCAAAAGCTAGTCTCACACCTCTTTAGATTAACAAACCTGAACTTTACTATGATGACTTAAACACAATCATCAATGTGGGATGCACATACACGAAATTGTGACATCAGAAAACGTTGTACCATAGTTAATGGAGAGGAATGGTTTGGAAACTCCATAGAACTATTATATATAGAAGCTATTGTTTTGCGTTTGAGGTTGAATCGTATCATCACGTGATAGTGACCGTGCACAATGGACCAAAGCAAGTACGGATGGAAATACTCATATTTCCTTATTATTTTCATGTATGGACATTTTGAAAGTGAAAACTTCCATTCGATGACCAAAAGCCATGCGAATACATATATCCGCACAGATACAGTTAAATTAGTAGATGATAAATAAGAAAACATTAAAAAGGGCAATTTCCTTTTCAATAAACAATTAATATTAATCATATATAGGAGTAAGTAACCAATAATAACTTAATAATAATCTTAGAACAAATTTTAAACTTTCACATTCCCTAATACTGTGAACAAATAAAGAGCAACTTTTCCTTATCTGTGCACAGTCAACGTTAGAACAATAGGTTTCCCAACCATTCCACTCCATTAAATATAGTTGTATGCATGCTCCTTAAAAACGTCAAATGCATTTTCTTAAATTTTACTGCTTTTGAAATCTATTTTTCAGAAATCTGCAAAATGAAAATGATAAGTCATTTACAATATTCACATCAGTGTTGTAATGATGGCAATACAATCACTCGCCTCCTGCTCATATTGTATTTGCCAATACAACACTGCCCCCCATTTTGTAAACAATACATGATACCAAACTTCTGACAGAGAAATGCGCAGGGGTTTTTAGTTATTCAATGCTGTCCACCTATAACTAAGGGTGGAAAAAATTATACAAAACTACTTACACAATAATTGGCTTCTGTGTTTACTTGTGAATCTGAGTGATCAGTCTCTTGATCATGACTGGCATCAATATACATTGACAAACATTCATCCACACAGGGATCATGTTCAGTCTTAATAGAGACCCATTCTCTATATCCATCATCGAAAGGCTCACATTTTATAGGTATATTGTTGTTCTGGTGGGAATAATTAAAAAAAGTGTTAGATTGAACAACCTGCTCAGTGGACCATAATTGCAATAACACTATTTAAGCATATGGTCAATGCTTCAATGGCATGTGTAAATCTTTTTATGGTGCATGCAGATGATGGGAGAGTAAAATGGTAGCATAAGAGTTGCACAAGGTGGAGCCTAGTGCAACGCTAGCTAGCTACCAGAGTACATGCTCTCCTATCTAATTCCAAGTGTACCAAGAATAGATTTATGCACTACAAGAGCATTGACCATTGCATTTATAACATAAAGAACAATTTTACATGATAAAAACTGTTTATTTTGATCTGATCAAATCGCAGATTCCCTTCATGCTAAATTCCAAATCAGACAAGTCTTGTGTTTGGAGCGAAATAGCCTGAATTTGTATCGTAAACTTAATTTTTAAAACTTTTTTCAGAATATTCCTGCAAAGGAAACAGTTAATAAATAAAGGCTTATATGATCATATTTTCATTCACTAGAAAGTTTTTCAGTGACTGAGGAGGAGTCAATTTAGCGATCTTTGTTGGAGCTTGGCTGCATCAAAATCTAAACATTTTTTACATAAGCATATATATTTTTTGAAAACTGCAACTTTTATTGAATTTTCACCAAATTGACGTCACCAGCGTGCTCCATATTAGTGCTCTATACATTTTTCTTCATAGATAGAGCCAATCAGAGCATGCGTTATATCTTAGTTATGTTATAAAACCATTTTTTCTTATTCAAGCTCAACACCTACCCATCTGTGTTCTCCTGTTGTCTTGTTATAGTAGAACAAAAGCTGTCCTGGCTTACATTCATAACCATACCAATCTGGATCTAACTGATCTGAGACTGACATCTTTTACAAATGGATCTAGCTGCAAAATTTTCAAATCAAATATTAAGAATGAATACTAGTTATACAATAGCTTTGAGTGGTATAACATTAAGGTATAACATTAACATCTCAGTAAATATTCCCCGATATTCACTTTGCCTTCTGCGAATAAGTGTTAAATAAGAAGGGGAAAGATTAATATATAAATCAGCTGCTACTAAATTATTATGGGAGCGCATCACGCCAGCCAAAAGGGGCAGAAGGTGTTCAGCATAGTATTTGTGTAAGGCTCTCCTTTCCCCCTCTCCCCTCTCCCTCTCCCCAAGAGAGCCTGATATTCAGGTTATATCTTCGCTTGTTTCCAATAAGTACTGTATATCAATTCAATTCAATTCAATTTTATTTTCACTGACTAATAAAGAATTGTAAATACAAAGACAATAAGTGTAATTAGAAAGATAATCATACAGCTTAGGTGAAAAGGAAATAAGGGATATCATTGTCAAACTTTACTCTAATTTTGAGGCGTCATTAATTACCTATACTAATTATATCATCACTTCATAATCCCATATGAGCAACTATTGTATTATTCTTTTAATTTAAAAATTCTCTTTCCTGTCCAAATTAAAGATTAATTTGGATTGTTTCCATTCGATTTTTCTTGGGAGAGCTGAAATTGTCCAATTACTTAGTAATTGGATAGTTTTTATCAGCCAATTAAAACTCAGGAGAAACAATAGAAATTGACTTTGAACCAATCAGCGCGCGACTTTCGCTTGCCGGTTGGCCTTGTTTACTTTTTTTCATCTTGTAATTTTTTTCAAAATGGCGGAGGCAGTTGTAAATTGGGATCTTTTTTAATACCTTTTTAGCGTAAACAAAAGTATTTGACTCCTAGAGGATGGCAAAGAAAGAAGAAAGGCGCTAAGATGATATCCCTGTCAATGAACTCGATGGAATGCTTTGTAAATTCTATGCGGAAGTCAGAAAGAATGACTTCTGACAGCTCCGCAAGATACTTGTCTTTTAAAGAGGGCACAGCTAAGACAAGACAAGGAGGTTTGAGAGTCAATGCAAGAGTATCACTCCTGAAATTAAGGGCATCAACATTAGGGGCAATGAAATTAAACTTACGCAATACGCCGACGATACAACATGTTTTATGGAAAATGAAGAATCTATACAAAATCTCCTGAAGCTATTAGAAAGCTTTAAAGCTATTTCAGGATTGGAAATAAATATCAATAAAACCGA